TATCACTGAAACATCTCTGATATGTCAGTTCCGTGTTTTCAGGCAGTCAAAACAGAGCAGTTCATTATTTATGAGGTATAAGCAAGACGTAACGGTCGTGCGAACTATCTAATGAACTAAGTTACTAACGAAGGGAGGGACAAGCTGAATTATAATAGAGTTTATACAATGATAAGGAAGAATATAGCTTTAAGTCGTTAATTCTGTAAATAACTCGTAATTTTCCATCGATATAAATTTCTCACGATAGATCGATCACGTATCCCGTAACGCATTACGGTCGTTGAGGCATAAGCCGAAGCAGGAGTGAATCTTCCTTGGTAAGATAGCCTAATGGCGCCCACTATTCCCCAGGCTGGTTTGAATTCAGAGTTTTCCTTCTCCTAGACTGATTGCCAACTAAGGCTATAGGACTCAGTCTATTCTGCTATTTACCCACATGTTTTGAATTTACTGAATATTGATCGCTTTTTACTAATTTCCTCTTATTATTATTGCAATCCTTACTTGTATTCGGGACTCAAGAGGAGTTATAGAGTTTAGCCAAAAACCTGTCTTGCAAACATTTTTATTAATAAATTTATTTAGAAGTGTGTGTAAATGAAAAGGTTTGAGACTGACAACATTTTGCATTTCCTTAAAAACATCTTTCTTTCTGTTCATCTTCCCTTCTTGCTTTCTTTTTTCGTTTCACACGTTTTTATTGATTATTTGCTTTTATTTAAATCCTTTCTCTTTCTATATTTCTTTTCATCTTTCTTTCTTCGTTTCAAATATTTTTATCTATTGTTTTTTTTATTTATTTGAATCCCTTTTCTTGTTTTCTGATTTTATTTCTTTTTATGACTTTTTTCTTTCTTTCTTATTTAAATTTTGTTTTCTTTTAGCTTCTCATTCTCTTTTTGCTTTCTTTCTTTCTTTCTTTTTCCTTATTTTTCTACTTTTCTCATTTTTTTCTCTATTCTTTCCCTTTATATCTCTTTTTGCTTTCTACTTCTTTGAACTTTGTTTTCCTTTCTCTCTCTCTCCTTTTTGCTCATTTTACCGCTTCTTTTTCTTTAAATCTTTTTTCTCTTGTGACTCCCTTTATAATAATCAATCTTCCCTTCTTTTTTTCTTTTTTCCTTTGATTCTTTCCTTTCTTTTTTGTTTTCCTTCTTTCCATTGCTTTGCTATTATTATTATTATTATTATTATTATTATTATTATTATTATTATTTCCTTGTATTCATGATTCCATTTCACTGAAACAGACGTTAAACAATTTTTTCTTTACTTGCATTATTTACATTACTCAGACTGTTATCCTCATCTTCATTGCAATATTCACAACGTTTCGGCCGTTGTACGTTCCGGCCTTCTCCAGGTAATTGTAATACTGAACCGAACCCTTTATTTTGTCCACCGGGGTAAAGGCATGACAAATGGAACTAGAATAATCTAATATAAATAATGCAAGTAATCATAATACTTCATCTCAGAGATATAGACAGACTTCTTTCTTTCTTTCTTTCTTTCTTTCTTTCTTTCTTTCAAAGTAGCGTCTCTGATGAGGCAGTTCCGTGTTTTCACGCAGTCAAAACAGGATAGTCCATTATTTATGAGGTATTGGCAGGACGTATCGGCCGTGTGAATGCTAATAGGGATAATTTTGAAGATATTTAAATTTCTTAGATGACTAATGTTCATTGTTGATAAAATATGAAAAATATCGTTCGTAAACAACTTCTTTTTTCTAAATTTATGCTGCCAACTTTAACCGCCGGGAACTATCTGGACCTGGAGCTTTGGTATAAAAAAAAAAAAAAAAAAAAAAAAGCTAAAAAACAGCTAATAGGATGAAGAAAAGTAAAACCAATGAAAAATGAATAATGAAAGTATGTCATTCAAGAATTAAAATAGCTTCAATTTCGCATTGCAATAAAGTTATGAGCTGATTTCTCATCTCTCCGAGCAAAGTCGAAACGGAAATCAATAAATCAATGAGATCGAATTAATTTGCTTCGATCGGGTAGTTTTTTCGATGCTCTTGGCGGTTGGATAAAATAGGTAGCATTAAAAATAAAGAGAAGACAAAAAAAAAAAGGAATTAAAGAAACACAAATATACACTTAAATAAAAATAACTATTTTGGTAGCAACAGTGATATCCCCATTTCTGATAATAGCGATTTTATTTAACTGGCTTACGGGCAGATCACGTTGAAGCACCAGTTCCCGTACGATCACCACAGTTAAGTAACGTCGAGCCTAGTCAATACCTAGAATGGGAGACCGCTTGGCAATATCAGTTGCAGTAAGCTTGGATATGCCGATGGGCACCTCGAGGCGGTGTAATGGTTAGCAAGCTAGTCTCGCTAGAACAATTACGATTGAGTAGTGAGTTCGATCCTCATTGAGTGCCTTCTACTTTCGGCACTGTGCCACATCTAAGCTACGCTATACCGGTGGTATAATGGATAATGACTCGGAATTGTTAATCGGAAAACGGAGTTCCAATTCCAGTTGGGTTTCTTTATATTCACTTACGCACAAATACCCTTGAGAAAGGTATGAATCCACCTCTTCTCCCCCAGCTATGTGTTAATGAGTAAGACTTGTATCACTAAATCATTATTATCTCAAAAACATTCTTTTAATCTAAAAATATTTTCTGATTTTAAATAACCTACAAAGGGCTGATAAGTCGTAAAAAAAAACAATCATTTGTAACAATAGCGATTTTATTTACCAGACCTCTCCATTAAGGCAAGATGTGGCACAAGGTCTTTTTGTTACTTGGGATGCCCATATGCATACATATACAAGTTGGGTCAAAAGTAGATATACTGTTGTTTAATTATGCTTTGGCGGTAAGGGACTACTTAGAATAAACTTTCCCACGATCGAACGACGTGGCAGCATTGAAATGCCACCAAGTTCACCCGATTTACCACCAATGGACTTCTTTTGGGTGCGGGCGTAGTAAAGAATAAGGGTTATGAGAAAAATCCCCACACAGGAGCCGAACTAAAACGGTTCATCTTGGAAGCATTTATTGACATTGATGCGGATCGGAATTTGTGTTGTACTGTTTGTCACAGTATTCTGGAGAGGTTTGAGGAATGTTGCAAGGTTGAAGGAGGACATTTCGAGAACTTTCGAGATTAATCAGTTTTAAACAAATGTACCGTATTTTTCCGGATTCCAAGACGTCTTGTAATACAGCGTCTGTCTCCTCGTTTTATCCCTTGTACATTTGATAAGGTAGCTAGCCAATTTTTGTAGAAACCGGCTCAGATATATTTTATACTGCAATTATAGCGAGCATACATAAGTTACATGCTCCGGGAGAAACCAGTTGTTGAACAAGACCAGTACGCTAAAACCTTCAGTCACGGTTCGAGTTCTACCAACAACGACTTCCGAACAGATTTGTCAACCAAATGTCCTTCACCTAGGTGACCCCAGGTATTTCCCAATGGTACTTAACCACTCGGGTTGTCTTTCGAAGCCGATATTATCAAGAAGTTTGTGGAGAAGGGTCAGAGGTTCTTAGCAATATATATCGGAAACTTCGGAAATAAGCGAACAGAATTAAAGGTATAAACAAATAATATATATTTATTTATTTGACTTCGACTGGAGTGAAACTTTTGTTATTCGGGGTAGTGAAAGTTCGTTTGGCTGGGTATTTGATAGTTGATAGTCAGCCTTTGGTAGTAGCCGTCATCTTTTTTGGGGGTATTGCCTGGAATGTGATTACTTTGGAAATGGACGCTGCATCAATCTGTGTGTATTTTCGGCCCTCAAAAAGGCGGAAAACGTCTTAACCAGATGACCGCTTAGTTTCTTCACGCAACATGTTCGGAGGTTTCTTTGATGGTCCGTTTTCTCTGTCTCTGACAAGAGTCAGAGACAGAGAAAACCGCTGTCTGTTTATATCCCTTAAGAAAGGACTCCAGACGAAGGCTTGGTTTCGGCTAGCATCAAGAGTTTTGTTTTTTGATTGGCCCAAATTCTTATATTTTTCCGACGTTCATTTCTTTTTTTTTTTTTTTTTTTTTTTTTTTTTTTACAGTGGGAGTTCTGCTGGGAGCCTTTCTTATTGTGATAGATTTCTAGTCACAAAGACTAGACCAATAGACCAGCAAAATTCCGCCGTTTTGCAGCCGTGTTCAGTCTGTTTTTCTTCCTCCTTTTTTATTTGAGGGTTTCCTTCTCATTATTTGAGAAGAGCTTTAAACGAAAAACGCATCCATTTTGGTGGTACCCAGTTATTTGGAAATATAGCCATTGCAAAAAGCATGTCTGCTTGGAACAACATGGGTAATCTGGAAAGTATTGTATACAACCAGAAGAAATGATCGCTTTATGTTCTTAAGTCATGAATGCTGGCCGAAAAATAAACGTTTACTAACAACAAATATCATATGCTGTGAATAATAATAATTATTATTTACAATAATAATATTTCGAAAAAGATATTAAAAGACTCATATGTGATCTTTCTAATAACAAGGATATGTCAAAACATAAAAAATGTCATATATGTCGTCATTGATAATATTTAAACTAGAAAAAAATGTACTAAACTCTATGTAACATCTAATCTCTTATATGGCAGTGAATGCTGGTCAATCCCCTCACAGATTAAGAAACTTGAAACGACAGAGACGAGGTTCTACCGATGAATGCTAAGAATTAAAAAAAAAAAGAAAAAAGAGGTTTACGGCCGTATCACGTCGAAACATCGATTTCCTTACGATCATCAAAGTTAAGCAATGTCGAGCCTAGTCATTATATAGATGAGTGACCGCTTGAGGATACCAGGTGCTGCAAGTTTGGATATGCGGGTGATGTAATGAGCTTACGGCCGCATCACGTTGAAGCAGCGGTTCCTGCACGATGACAGAAGTTAAGCAACGTCGATCCTCGTTATTACCTAGATGGGTGGCCGCTTGAGAATACAAGGTGCTGTAAGCCTGGATATGCGGGCGATGTAACTTTACGGTGCATCACGTTAAAACACTGGTTCCTACAAGATCACCGAAGTTAAGCAACGTCGAGCCTGGTCATTACCTAGATGGGTGACCGCTTGGGAATACCAGCTTGGGAATACGAGGTGATCGCTTGGGAATACTGTAAGCTTGGGTATGTGGTGTAATGGATAATGGCTCAGAATTGTTAATCGGAGAGCCGAGTTCTAATTCCGATTGGTTCCGTTTTAGTCACTAACGTGCAAATACCCTCGGGAAATATATAAATACAGCTCTTTTACCCCCAGATATGGGTTGATTAGTAAGACCTGTATCAGTAAATCATTATCTCAGAAAAAAATTTATAATATGAAAAAAAATCTGGCTTTAAATATCTTGCAAAGGGTTGATAAACCGTAAAAATTTGTGAATCAATTAAAATACAAAGAATAAGAGAAATGATCTTCACAGGTAGGACCTGCCATGTTGTGTTCACAGTCGCAAATCATCCACATTCCCTTCGTGTTCCTTTGATATAAAGCAAATTCTATTCAGCTTCTTTTCCAGAACCTTTACATTGTGGAATAAACACCCGAGAGAGTGTTTTTCTGACAGCTACAATCTTGGTCTCTTTAAGTCTAGGATTAAACGATATCTATCTTATTTGTCCTCATAATATTCTCTTACTTCCCCCTCCCTGACAACAGTCTCACTTAGTAATACTCTACCTTGAGTGACCCTTGGGCCTTGGATTAGGTGAACTATCAGTAAAAATAAAAAATAAATAAAAATAAGGCGGGAATTTCAAATCATTTATCTTTCCTTTTACAAGTACTTATAGAGGTGCTTACGAAAAAGGCAAGACTCTTACTCAAAGTGAAATTTTTAAAGAAGCAAACATTTATTAAAATGTCAAAAAATATTTTTACAATATACTAGCTGATTTCTAAACGTTTTATTTCTGTATGTCTAAATTTTTTTGGATGAAGAATTATGAGGATGTATTGATTTATTCAGACTAATGTCCTGATCTTGGTTATTGTAGTCACAGTATTTTAAAGGTTGTATTCTCAAACGGATGTGCAGGTGGTGCAATGTTTAGAAGCTCAGAATAAGAAATCAGCAAACCAAGTTCAAATTTCGGTGAGGATAATTGCCTTAACTTTTGCACAACTACCCTTGGGAAATGTATGAATCCATCTCATTCACAACCAGTGCGTTACTGTGGCTTAAATATTAATTCAAACTGAACCGTCTAGCCATGGTTGAATTCAACACTGAATTCAAAATCGGTGGACATACTTAAACTGAAATTAAGATCCTTTCAACCTAGTTGCAGTATAAACCACATATTAGCTTTGTGGGTGTTGAAAAAACAACACATTTATTCAAATTACAAAAAAAAAAAAAATTTTACAATCTAAAAAATGTACAAAATATAATATAAGCTTTGCACGAAATGTCCACTGTGTACCACAAACTATCAAGGCAAATTAACATTTCTTAAAAATATAAATCTGTTTTCTCTTAGAAAACAATAGTTCATGAAAAATATTTTTCCTTAATAACAAAGGAATTTTACTTACTTTCTTATCGAATGCAGTTCATGTATATCATTTTTTTAAAAATAACAAATAGACTTAATTTACCTAGTAATGTTCACATTCGAAAGGTCTAAGATAGAAGAGGTGAAAAAGGACGACCTATCCCAGGCGAAGATAGAATATTTAAGTTTTCGAAATAGGCGTACTCAAATATGAGACAAACTCTCACAGATTTAGAAAAGACATTCAAACGAGATAAACTAATAAGTTTAGAAAATACATTCGTATTTCAAATTTAGAAGATTCTTCTTCTTCTTCAGCAGTAACAGCAACAGCAGAAACAGCCTTTCTCGTCTCAAGTCACAGTGTTTCTCGATCGAGCCGAAATCTTTGTGATTTCACAAACAAAATTTTCTCTCTATAAAGAAAGCGGATGAATAAAATATTTCGTTAGGGGCGTATACTTTCTATCCTCATTAGTTAAAAACTTTGGGAGTCACTAACAAATCAAACTACGCCTGTTTACACCTTGCGATATTCTGATAACATCATAATTGACTCATTTTGTAATTTTTTGCCACATAATGTTTAAAACAGTCTGGTTACGTTTTAGCTATTATCTTATAACATCAGTTTAGGACACCCTTGTTTTGGGAAATCTTTATTCGCATTTCTTAAAAACCGCCTGGCTACATTGGCGACTTTTATAACATCATTTGGAATCCATCTTTATGTAAATTTTTTGCACATAAATTTTTATTCATGTTTATATTATATATATATATATATATATATATATATATATATATATATATATATATATATATATATGTATTATAAACTGCCTGGCTTCACTTTGGTGGTTTCTTTTTTAAAGAAACTGTGTTAGTAACATTCTAATTTTCCTAGTTAGTTTTTCATACAATTTAATATCAACTGTTTTATTAAAACTAATTTTAATAGAACACCAGGGACTAAACATGTTAGCAACCAGAAAGTTTTAAGTTAAACAGGAACTACAAAGGCATTTATAATTACAATCAGAAATAGACAAATTTCTGGGAGATATAATGAGGAAATAAGGCTTGGAGAATTTGACACCACAGGTCATATTGAAGGCAAGCAAAGCAGTGGGAAAGAGCGAATAAGCGACCTAATGAGTTTGTGTGAATCGCTAGAAGAACAAGAGAAAGAGGTATGGTAAAGATGAAAGAGTCAAAAGTTAGTGTAAGGGACAACAGATAGGAAGTTTTGGAGAGGTATGATCGCCTACGGCACTGAATAGAAGCCTGTAATATTAAATGTCTCTTATGCTATCAAATACGTTCAGTTTACTTCTGCTTCCAGTTGACCTTGTACCACCCGACAAGTAGTGGGGGAGGAGATTCTACCTTGAAAAAAAATGCATGCGAATTTTTTCGGTAAGCTAGAAAACCACAGACCGGTACGCGTAGTTAGTTAGCTAATCTGTCACACGATATTTTTTAAAACTAAGTGTAGCCTGGCAAATGGCCAAATTGGTTGAGTGTACTTTTTATGATTAGGGTGATGGTATTGCTCTAGTCTACTAAATAAAGAAAAATTACACGCTTAACAACTAAAAAGGAGCATTCGGAATACTGTGTCTACCTGGGCTCGAACACCGCCTTTCCGAGCATTGATGGCGGGTAGGAAATGCGTAAGAAGTATCTTGCAAGGCACCAAGCAGGCCTGTCCCATCTGCTGCATTTGCAGAAGATACTAAGTAAGTTCTTAAGAGAGTACGATTTTCTTTCTCATACAAATTCTACCAATTTTGTTATAGTAGTTCCAGTAGTGAAGTGTTTTTTTTTTTTTTTATCTAGTGCAGGAGGCTGACGTTGTTATGCGTGTTAAGATATCAGCAGCAGCCGGCTAAATCCTTCCTTCTTCCTCCGACCCAAGAATAAGTAGTGATAACTTTACGCAATTTTGCCTTCTGCCGTATGCACCATCCTCAGACCAAACTGATGACACGGTTCTTAGTTATTTAAATGAGTAAGTACAATTTCACCTGTTTATATTTTGTGATTTTTTCCCGTCTTTTTTACTTACTTTTTTTTTGTATTTTTAAATGTTCCCTTGAAAAAAAAATTGCATTCTCGACGAGGAATAAAAAAATAAGTAAAACATTTTAAAAATGAAAACAAAGTTTACCCAACCACGTTTTATGAGCAATTTTTAAAAGCATTCTTCTCTCTTATATTTTTTTAAAAGTGCTTTGCTGTGTCATCGTAAGCTAGGGAAATTTTTTAAAAAGTACATAGGTAAAAAAGCTAAAAAACTACAAAACTGAATAAAAAAATATGTTTTTTCTTGGGAGCAAAAAATATTTATTTCGCTTTGTTCATAACGAGTTTATGATGAGTCGTAGCTTTTTTCTTTTTTTTTTTTTTTTTTTGTAAATAGTAAATAAGAATTTAAAAAATAAATTGGAAAGATTGAAGACACGTGTTCATTCTGACGATTAGAAAATATTGTGTTGTTTTATCGAACACTAACACACGTACACACACACACACACACACACACACACACACACACACACACACACACACACGGTGTAGCTAGCAGTCTACCTTCCTTATTAAGAACTAATATTCAGTTTTTAAATTCACCCAATCCAGTAAGTGTGTGTGTGAGTATAAAAGTTTCCAGTGCTTAACTTTTTATTCAAATTTTAATGTTTTTTTTTATACTTAAAAACAAAACAAAACAAAAAGTTTTCTATTGAATATTCAGTCTCTTAATTAAAAAAAAGACAGGAAAAAGTGCTGAGAATTTTTGGCATACATGGGAACCAAATTTCATGGCCAAAATTACCTGATCTTTTCATTAGCAATACATATGCATACATATATGACTGTGTATGTGTGTGCAAATTATTTAAATTATGATTGTTATTTTTAAATTAATTAAAACTAATAAATTAAAATTTTTACCTATCATTATTATAATTATGGTTATTTATATGTAAGTTTTTGGATGAAAGCCAATGGTTAATTTTTTTTGTCCATCTTTAAAAATGATTTACAGCACTAATTTCAAAGATAAGTAGACACTCATCTTCACTGAATAAGACTTTCAGAATAAAGAGAAAAGGAAAACATCTTTATACATATTGTCATTTTAAAGATTTTTAGTTATCTCGGAAATTTTACAAAAGTACACACACACAAAGAAAAACCAAAACTGTTGGTGGAACCAACAAATAACTTGCCACCCTTACAAAATAAAATCTCAAAAAGCAAAAAGAAAAAAAAAATAAAGCAAAGATTTACTTATGTACTAAGATTACCTATACAGACCCCACCAAAAACACACCATTGTCAAGCATATGTATGTGTGTACATATATATATATATATATATATATATATATATATATATATATATATATATATATATATATATATATATATAATTATTATATCAATTTATGGTGGGTAAATGAATGACAAAATACAAATATATGCTTGACAATATTAAGCCGTCGGAAGATCACGTGAGTGTGAAACTTGGTTTACGACTAGGGTCAATCTTTTATAGGAAATGATGTTGTCAAGCGTTT